TCAGTTTTATTTAGGAGAATCATCAAGGCCATTAAATGTTAGAATAAGTGAACATCAATCTTATATTAAAAATAGAGAATTTGATAGATCTCAAATATGTAAACACGCATGGGATAATGAACATAGGGTTCAATGGAATAATTCAAATATAGTCCTAAAAGAAACGGATGGTAAAAAAAGAAAAATCAAAGAAGCGGCTCTAATTATGCTAAATGAGGCCAATTGTGTCGCAAATTCCTCGGCAGAATGTAGTAGGATCTGGTTACCAATATTGAAAGAGGAAGTTATTAATAAGAAAATACCAGTATTAGTAAGTCAGTAACATATAGAGGATACATCATTTATGTTTTTTAAATAACGTAACATATAAAATCAGAATTTTGATGTTTGTTGAAGGTAAACTAAATTCACGAACAAATACTTACAATGTCGGGATAGTATTATGAGGTTTTTTTCCTGGTTTTTCCCTCATAATTTACTATGGAATCACTAACGGGAGAATTTTACTGTCATCATGTCATGTGTTTGTCTTTTTAAAGACGAATTACATGCTATGATTTTTTCTGACGGATATTCTCAAGTTAAAGTTGATTTCATGTAATCGAATGAACTATCTTATAGTAAAGTCGTCCCAGGAGCGCAACTCAACAATATTGGCAATACCATTTTAAAGTCCTCTACTTTAAAATGCATAATGTATGTCTGAATTGTCAATATAAATGAGTCAGATAAAATTAAATTATTAGAAGAATATTTTTCCCTATGTAACAAAAAACAAAATTTGTTTAATTTATTGTTTGTATTTTGAGAACGATTTCCGAATTGGAAATTGAAACGTCAATAAACGTATTTTTTATCTTTAATTGTGGCTTATTCCCAGTTATAAATAGTAATTAACTTATTTTTATCTCTCAACTCACTCTTAACTCAATCTTATTTTTTCTTCTTATTCTTTTTTGGGGCTACGTCCGCGCAGTAAATTTTGCTGATTTACGACACCAGGTGTCGCTGTTCCGAACTTGCACGTTCTCAACCTATTTCTAAAGGTGTTTTATTTAGGTCTACATTTGATAATTCTTTTAGTTTAGCTATTATCGTCCATTCTCGCGGTCTGCCCTATTCCAAATTTCTGCGTTTGGAATGTGAACTCTTAGAGATAGATACACCATTAATCGTTTCATTGTATATTTTGTTGTTCACATTTTATTAATTGTGCTGTTTGTCAGGATTATGGTTTCTGCACCTTACGTGACGACATGCATTGATTAAAAATAATTTCATTGAAGATACATAGGAAGATCTAATTTCAGTATGTCTGTGTCAACGATAGTAATAGTACATTTAATATTTACAAATAAACAACGGCATTTTTTCCCTTATTCTTCCATATAAATCGGTCTCGTTTTTAGGTGTAATGATTTTGGACCGTGGTAAATAACATATATTATAAATAATATAAATTCAATTCACCTATCTCGCGCGTCATACTTTTACAGGTATAATGAACGTTGGCAAAGATTCTAACAACAATCAACGAACTACTACCTGCTCGTTTACTTCTCTACATATAAGGAAAATCGACAGTGTTTTTAATCTTTTCTGGTCTTAGAAGTGAAGAAATAATAGCAATAGGTTTGATGTTACGTATTTTTTAAATAAGAAGATAATTGGACTTCTTTAGTTGCTGGGTTTAATTTTTTTTGACTTTTTATTTTGTCCTTAATTTGGAATTTTACACTTCCTTCAACGTGTATTCTCTTTAGTCCTATAGATGTGTGTTAAAACACATAACCTTTTATGTGTTTTATACAAACCTGTCCTTAAGTATACCGATTTCTCGTTTCTTCTGGATTCCTGTTATCTGTTTTTCTTATTTGTTTATACTCTGAGTCTAATTGCTTAACCTTTTTTTTTTTGTTTTTTAAGTTACTGATGATTATTTTTTAACTGTTTTCTTAAGTATATTAATCTGCTGTTTGATTGATATAATTCTAAACTCTTGTTATCTCTTTTTTTACTTTCTTTGTACATTATGAAGGTTTCATATTCTACGTCATTATTTCCCATTTGCTCACATTGTTCCTTAATCCATATTTTTTTGGTATCTTTTATTTATAAAAAATTCTTTATAAAAAGGTATATTTATCTAAAAAAAACCTTTCAAGCTACATAACACTGCGTTTTCGGAATGACATATTTCTTTATCAGTGCTTCTACTAGGTGTATAAGTGTGAAGCTACTTAATAAGAGGAACCAGAGTTTTAACCTTACTTAGACTGTCGCCTCTTCAAGAAAGGGGTGCTCCTTTTTTGCGGGCTAATGGTGGTGTGACAAAACGTGATGATTGATGTTTTATGTGGAGAAGTAGTGGACTACTAAGGAGCTGGGGTTCAGAAGGTGGTGTATATGTGTGGACGATGTGTTAAGAAGCGCACAAGAGGAATTTTGGTGTGGAAAGCCAAACATGTCGAAGGAGGTACTTCAAGGGTTACCAGCTATACAATAGGAACGGCTCTTAATCAGTGTTTCGGCGTGTAGTTGTTAGCTGCGATATTTAATGAGGATTGTTTCTATAATATCAAAATACTCATCAGGAAGTTCGTGTCTAGTGTTGTGTAAAAGTTTAGCTGGAGGGAACAGAACTTTTCTTTGAGGAAACCTGGTGAGTATTTGCCCTCGGCGATTGTAAGGTGTCTTTAATATTTATTTTGCTCTATTATTCGAGCCTGTGTGGTTCGAAAGACATACCTGCTACTGAGGGATGGGATTCTGTCCTTAATAGGTGTTTTATTTGCCAATATGTATATGTGTGCTGATGGATAGTGACTTCACTGCCTCATGCAGAATCTGAGGAGTTTACCTTCAGTAGCCATGATGGCGTTGATTTGGTAGGTTTTAAGGGAGGCGTAGGTGCATGCCTTGTATTCAAAAATAGGTCTAATGAAGGTTTTATAGCAATAATGTTTTAGATGACGTCTTGCCCATTTGGCCGGCTAACACTGCCAGGAGTTTAAACTTCTTTGTCACCCTGTTAAGGGTATCTTGAATGTCAGTTTTCCAGTTAAGGGTCCTAGTAAAATGAACTCCCAAATAGGAAACTGAGTTTCTGAGAATAAGGTCCTCTCCTAACAGAGATATTCGGCCATGGACCTCACGACAATTTGAAAATTTAAATAAAATTATTTATTGGATTTTAGAGGAATTTATGGTCACCCTCCATTTATTGCACCACCTTATGACTCTGTCTAGATAATTTTTCGCTTTTTCGAATAGAGACAATTGTCCACGTTCTCTATGCTGTCCTGACTACTTTGATCCTGAGCGTCCGATTAAAGAGATATTAATTTATTAGTTTAACGAAAGGGGTAGGCAATCCAGCAAGGTGTAGTTTTTCGCTCAGACCTGATCGAATGCCTTCTGGACGTCGAGAAATGTGCCTATGACATGTTTCCTTTCGTTAAACGATTGTGAGATGAATAAGCCCTGAATCCAAATTGGTAATGTGGTATTTCAGTTTTGGTAAGGGTTTTCTCTTGTTTGGGAATAATGATTGTGCTGGTCAGTTTTCATGGAATTTAAAAATAGCTCACCGTAAGAAATGCATTGATTATATTGGTGATCAACGGGATAATATTCTCAGGAAGATTTTTAAGGCATCTTCTGTGGCCTAAGCCAGGATCTGTGTTTTTTCCAATATTATACATCTGCCTAACGGTGTCCTCAGTCACAGGGGCCATCATTGGGTGAGGATGAGGTCCCAAATGTGCCTGAGGGAAACAAGAAGGTAAAAGCCCTTTAAATGTTGTTAAATTGGTTTTAAATTACATTGTTGCTGAGAATGTTATAGAATGTTAAAGTTTTAAACAAAATTCACTTTACGGTAAGGTTTAAGACTCTTAAACCGAGGGTGCTGACACTAGGCCATTTTTCTCCTTAAAGAGACACCGCTGTAGACATATAGTTCTGCAGTGTAAAATCTGTAGTTAGTACCTAGTTGACCCAAAGCAATTATGGTTTCCGTCGAAGACACAGTACATTCAACTCCTTATTAGCTCTTGAAGGCATTGATATGTAAAATTCTGCCAAATTGCGATGAATGAATTATATTTTGAAAGGTTTGTTAGGATGGAGCTCAAGGTCTCTACTTCATATAATCTGAATGGATCACTGTTAAAAAATGTAATAAAACAAGCCCATGTAGTTGTCGCAGAAGTACGGATTGTGATTATATTTGAAAAACCGCTAGTACCTTATAAAGTATTTGTGGTGCTGTGAGTGTGGATGTGGATCTATTGAAAGGAGGTGGTTCTGCTATTTACTTTTTTTAATAAAGTACTATAAAATATTATATAGAGATTATGGAGCCATCAGGAAGCAGAAGTAAAGTTTACACTACTGCACTTTTGCCCCTTATGAGCGTAAGCGCAAAATTTCGGGCCAATGCTTTTTAAATGCAATATTTTTTTTCGAATCCTGAGAAAACTAATGAGTATTTTTTAAAAATTTAAACGCAGAATTAAAGATTACATTATTGCCTAGGCCCAAAAGTCCCTGAAAACTTCTATAATGTTTATTTTAATAATTTACAGGGGTGACAAAGAAGAGAAACTTTACTGTGATTTTTAATTTCAAATATCTCACACAAAAAAACTTTTTCTTTATTCTAAGGAACTTTTTGCCCTCGGTAATAATTTAATCTTCATTCTGCGTTTATATTTTTTAAATATTGTTAGTTTCTAGGATTCGAAAACAAATGAATGCATTTAAAAAGCATTGGCTCTAAATTTTGCGCTTACGCGCTTAATAAAATGGCAGATAATTTTCTAGAAAAGAACAACGTCTTAAAAACTATTCTATTATTATTTTATTACCTTCTGATATTTTTGCATGTCATCATAGGGTTATACTGTTAACAAAACACCTTTTTCACTTTAGTTTTATATGCAAGTATATCGATTAGCATACAATCGAAATGTAGAAAGATAAAATTACCAAAACTCGTACGACATTATACGTGCGGGGTGTGAAGTTTAATTTTCTGTTTAGTTTTATTTAAAAAAAGATGTTCGGGTTTAAAAAAGGAAAACAGAAAATCGAAGATGAACATGAGTGTGTGCCCGTTGTTTTCGTCAAAATTCCAGAGGCTTGTAAGTTTATGTTTAAAATATAAAAGTGTTATATCATCTAAGCATAATGTACGCTGTAAAAATATTCGAATACATCCTCAATCGGGCTGGTTTTGTTTACTCTAAGGTAACTATCACATTGTCTAAATACCATATCTTCTTCCTCGCGTGCCATATCAGATTTATCCGACGTTGGCGATCACCATTGCGAAGGCTTCTCGATCTTCTGCAATATGGAATAATTGTCCTGCATTTGGTATCTGAGTCCATTCACGAATGTTTTTTAACCAAGAAACTTGTTTTTTTCCTACACCTTTCTTCTTCAAGTGCCGTCTTCGTTCCGAAGTTTGGCTATCATCAAAGCTATGCGTATTTTTGATGCTGCAGATCTAAACAGTTGGTAATTGGTGCAATTGTACCATTCTCTCAAGTTTTTCAACCATGAATGCCTTCTTCTTCCTATAGATCTCTTTCCCATTATCTTCCCCTGTAGAATCAATTGCAGCAACTGGTATTTATCTACCCTCATAACATGTCCCAAATATTGTAGTTTGCGCTTTTTAACAGTAAGTATCAGCTCTTTCTCTTTCCGCACTCTCCGCAAAACCTCCACATTTGTTACTTTCTCTGTCCAGGGTATTCTTAATATTCTACGATACATCCACAACTCAAATGCTTCTATCTTTTTGGTATCGATCTTTTTTAATGTCCATGTTTCCATCCCGTAGAGGAGAACTGACATAACGTAACATCTCAAAAGGCGAATTTTAAGTTTTAGACTTAGATCTCTTCCGCAGAACACCTTTTTCAATTTAGTAAATGTGGCTCTAGCTTTCTCTATTCTGGTTCTGATTTCTTCAGAGCAATCATTATTTTCGTTGATAACAGTTCCCAGGTAATTATATCTTCTTACACGTTCGATTCTTTGATCATGCACGGTTATGTCAGGGAAGTTTTGTGGTGATTTAGATATTAGCATTATTTTTGTTTTGCTTATGTTAAGTGATAATCCGTGTTCTTCACTGCATTCTACTATTTTGTTAATTAGTATTTGAAGATCTTCCCAAGTTTCTGCGATTAGTACCGTCTCATCGGCATATCTCAAGTTATTTATTCGGATGCCATTTATCTTAATACCTATATTTTGAACCGAAAGTGCTGTGTTTATAATGTCTTCTTAGTATAGATTGAATAAGGTCGGTGAGAGTATACAACCCTGTCTTACGCCTTTCTTGATCTCGATTTCCTCCGTTGTCTCTTGCTCTATTCGGATATTTGCTTTCTGGTTATAGTAAATCTTAGAGATAATTCTAATGTCCCTTTTATCCAAGTTTTTTTCTACTAGCAGTTTCATTAAGTGATCGTGACGAACTTTATCAAACGCTTTGTTGTAATCAATGAAGCACATATATATATCTTGGTTTATATCTAGACATCTTTGGCATATGACGTTGAGTGCAAATAGTGCTTCTCTTGTTCCAAGCCCGTTCCGAAATTCGAATTGAGTATTACTAATATCTGCATCTAGTTTTCTGTTAATTCTTGAGTGGATTACTTTGATGAATACTTTTAATATATGCCCCATTAAGCTTATAGTGCGGTAGTCAGTGCACTGTTTTGCATTTGCCTTTTTTGGTAAGGTTACGAAAGTTGAAAGTAGCCATTCCATTGGTATTTCTCCTCTTTTGTAGATGCAGTTAAAAAGGTCGAGTAGAATATTCACTGATTCGCCTTCCACAAACTTAAGAAGTTCTGATGTGAGCCCGTCTGGACCCGGTGATTTACCATTTTTCATTATTTTTATAGCGTATAATAGTTCTTCTTTAGTTATTTCTCGTCCTTCGTCGCCTTGCAAGTTATCTATATTAGGTTCTTGTCTTTCATCGTCGAACAGTTCTTCTACATAGTTCTTCCAGGTCCTAAGCTTTTCTTGTAGATCGGCTATTATTTCACCATTTGCGTTGCATAGGAGATTGGGATGTTTTCGTTTTTGTGTACCTGTCAGTTCCTTTATCTTTTTATGTAAGTTAAAAGTGTCATGTTTGAGATGTAGTTCTTCGATTTCCTTGCATTTTCTTGTATAAAAATTTTCCTTTGCAGTTCTTATTTCTTTTCTGATTTGTTTGTTTACTTCATTATATTTTTGGCTGAATTTTCCCTTTAACTGTCTTCGCTCTTCCATGAGACCTAAAATTTTTTCTGTTATCCATTCTCGTCCTTTTTTCTGTTTCTCTTTGGTAAGCATTTTCTGGGCAGGTTTTACTACACCTTTACGGCCATCTATTGTGCCTTTAAGGATCAGTTGTAAAATTTTATATCGAAAGCCATACAGAAAGCTTATTTGCACAGATATTCCTATGTATAACTTTATCCTGCTTCACTCTATCCATATTTGGATATAGGTATCTTCTTGTTTCTTCCACTGATATATGTTCAATGCTGTACTCATCTATATATCCATCTCTTTTTGTCAGATGGTGTTTGATATTTTGAAAGCACCCTTTAACTGATTAAGTTAGAGGCTGCCCAAGAGGGTGAGCCTGCACATTCATTCCAGGTTTTAGGAATTTATTGTTTATTTCTGCATTACACTTTGGTCCTTATTTTTATGGGGCGTCATACTTTTCTTCGGCCTTGCGGTTAATAGTTTAGTATTTGCCAAGACAGTCGGTTTTCCGTTTGTATTTTTTTGACTTTGATTTTGTTCTGTATTATTATATTTTCTCATTGGTCGAGTAATATTCAGATCTTATTTTGCATCTGCTTTTCTCTAGCTATCAAGTCTCAAGGATTTTGTAAAAATATAAATGCAAGATAAGTTTATGTTAAATTCTCTTAGTTTTTCGATGTGTTTTAAAATAAGAGCATTCTCGTTAGTTGATCTGCCTTTAAAAAACTGCGTTATTCGTTATCATCATACCTGTATATATCTATATCTTTTCTATTCTTTGATGTGATTGCCTCTGCAAGTTCTTGCAATGTTTTATAGTCAATATACCTAGTACCTTAAAATAAGGTGTATAGCAACAATTTTTTTCCTTTTGATTACCACAGCTACTCTGTTTGAACTCAGAAATATGTTCTTAAGTGCTTAAACGTTTGGTATATTACTGCATTTCAAAATAATCTACTGAAACACAAAATTAACTTTTTCATATTAATAAACACTAAATAAGTATGTCTGTTGCTAGTGATCCCATGAAGTGGGGTGAATTATATTAAAATTTCACTGGTTTAACTAACAAAGGGTAAATAACAACACATAATATATGTTTAGACAATGTATTTGACATAATACATTATGTTAATTTATGTTAAAGTTTTTTAAAGTTTTATGTTAAACTTTTAATTAAGTATTAAAAATATTGATAACTATTGACACAAAGAAAATTTGAGGAAATTTGTAGATAACTTTTTTACATTAATATTTAACCTTAATTTTACATAATTATTACCTTCTGGTAACTGTTTTAACAATGATAAAGTCCTTAAATGAAAACTTTGACAAATGATTTTCCTTCAATGTTTTGATTGTAAATGAATCCTCTTCATAAAAACTCTCTCTCCATTCTGCATCACTTCAGTTAATTCATCATGATCTTTAACAGGTTTTTTTTCTTAATTAGCTGTTCTTTGGGCTTTTGTTTTCGATGCTAGGTTCTGTTGTGCATTCATTAGAAATCTCTGCTTGGAAAACTACAACTTCGACGCTTTTGCCACGAAGGACCGATACTTTGGTTCTCTTTTGCCTTTTCTTTGATTTGTTAGATTGTCTCACAGCTTTCATGTACTGTTTAAGGCTTTAGTGGTAGTTTGCTTGTTAACTTTAGAACTTTTTTGGAGGAAAACATTATTTCTATCTAGTGAAATGTCACATTTTTTGAAACAACAAATAATATTAATTTCTTTTAGTGACACTACAGCTCTTTAAAGAGAGTTGAAGATATTTTTGGAAAAGAGGCTTCACTTCCTAGGCCTTGTTTCGGGCTGTTGGAAGTTGCTTGGCAAAAAAATTAATTTGATATGTTCTTGGCAAATTTTTTCGACTTCTACAGATAGATGTAAGGCTAAGTTGTTGCCTAACAATATCTTTACTACATGAGTTTTGATAGATGGGGTATCGCTATGATCTTGACCTAATCTTGAAAGCAATAAGAATCAATCCATCCTTACTTTTCGGTTGTATCTGGAGTTTGGTGGCTTCTAACTCTCCATATATCATAGATATGTTATGGTTTATATACCACATATGGAGGGAGGATGATTCCATCGCTAGCAGCATAAAACATAACCCAAACGAAAGCGTTTGTAGAGTTTATTATCCTTTACAATCCTTTCGAGAAATAATAACTTTTCGTTATGAGTTATCCCCTAAAATGGTCTCATCATAATTGTTGATATTGTTTGCTATAATATCTTTTCATTCTATACCAAGACGATCAAACTATTTATTGATAATCTCTTCAGTAATAGCTGCTGTGGACTGTTTTAAAATTTGACAAATTGGACAAAATCAGGTCCAGGAATATTATTCTTAAAATATAGGACACTTTTGCTCTGCATATCAAAAAAATCTTTTATAAGCATTCGTGAAGTAAATGAGTCATTTGGATATCCCCAATCACTACAGACAGGGCGGTCTGACCACCTTTTTTCTTGGTCTCACCTCTTTTCGTATGTCTTTATAGTAAAGTATGCTCCTTTTACATTTTTCTGCAACTTTTCTAAAACTACCGCCATTCTATACATCATGAATTGTTTTTTAAACAATTTCATATTATTTGCCCTTTTTAATTCTTACGTACTTTCGAGGCATTCTTGTTTAGTTACCTTCGCTATAAATTATTTCTGAAACCAAAAACATTGATTAACATACTTACAGGAAAGTTTTTGTAGTATGAAAATGTGCAGATTTGTTTCAGCTGAAAGTCAGTCCACAATAAAACTAACAGCGATGCCAACGTCTTCTTCTTTGAGTGCCTCTCCTATCGGTGATTGGATATCATTATGGCGATTCTAAT